ACATTCTTAAGCTACATAGTCTCATGTTCCAATAAAAATTTGCCAGGAAATTTGAATACAGGTTCCAAATCATTTGTAAATTTCTTCAGTTATATATCTTTGCTTGCCTGCTGCTTGGAAAATTAGCTGGCAGCTACAGGCTGATATTAGGATATTATTCAAAGTTATCAAGAGCATAGTACAGCAAAGTTTTCCATACAAAGAATCTTCAAAAAGTTGCGATTAGCTCAAACCATATGTAACTTACTGCATCATGCAAAAATGAATTTTCCTTCAAAGCTCGTAGATGTATTCTTTCCTGCATTTCTATATTTTACAAAATTTGAAAGAAAAAACCAGTTCAAATTGAGGAACAAGACTTGTGTAAAGCTATATAGTACAAGGCACCCATATTCAACGATGCTGAACTAGAGAACATAACCAATTATCTACTCCCCACATCACAAATTTCGTAATCACCAACATCTTTCAACTGTAATTTCCTCAATATGTGCCATATTTACCTCGCATTAAATAGCGACCTCAACACATTTCGCATTTTAGGCCTCGATTCAGGAGATAAACTGACGCAACTCAAAGCAATCTTCAAAACCGACAACATTTGGCTATGGACTGCAGGCGAAGTACTAGAAACCCTAGAATCAAGAATCTGTTCACTGTGACTCACCCTGGTTGAGAAACTAAGAGCCCATTTGGCTAGCTCCGTCCCTTGACTTACTGGCGGTTTTCCAGTCAGCAACTCCAGTAAGATGACCCCGAAACTGTACACATTGCCAGCTGCTGTAACCCTCATTGTGTAAGCGTACTCTGCAATTATGAAATTTCAAGAATTAATCGAGGGTTTATTAAGCATGAAAAGTTTTATGATCAAATATAAGAAATACATTAGCTTCTTATTTTCAGCGTATTACGAGGATACCCCTATTGTTTTTTAGTGTTAAACATACACCCGCAATAGTACAAGTATAGATATCTGAGAGATAACTCCATTTGGGTACTAGAGGTCTAAGAGCTAATAAAAAACTTTTAAGGATAATAAGTGGCTAATCCCCTACACAATATGGGTATCTACAATTAAGCCTATAACAGAAAACACTGTGCAATTAACATTAATAAACAAACATCCAAAACTTCTGACTCCACAAACAACAGATGATTTTGCACTTAAATCCATCAAATAACCAATGGAAACACAGTATCTTAAGAGAAAATAGAGCAAAGTTTGGAATATTTAGGGTGGCGAAAGGTTCAACAATAATACCGCTAATATGCTAAAATAAAAGGAATATGTGAATTAGTCTCACCTGGAGGAATGTATCCAACAGAACCAGCAACAGTAGAAAGGCTTCCAGTGCTTCTAGAAGGATCAATAACTTTAGAGAGCTCAATGTCACCGATTTGAGGCTCCCTCATTGACTTCAAGTGTATGGTCTTCGACGATAAATCCCATAGAAGAACTGGCTGAGTACACCCGTGTAAAAAAGTAAGCCCTTGAGCTACTCCAAGTGCTATACTGTATCGAGACTGCCAATCCAAAGCACTTCCTGAGTCTTTATGAAGGAAATCAAAGGCTGTTCCTTTATGCACATCCTCATAGAAGAGATACGCACTATCTCGTGTCAAAACATATGCTAACGGTACCATCACATTCGAATTGCTCAATCTCCCAAGAACCTGCAATTCTTGCCCAAATCTCTCGTTGCCCCCCATTTGGAAAATTTTCTCGCCTGAGTTGAGTTTTTTAACACAATAGCTCATGCCACTAGGCATAATGGCCTTGTAGTAAGTAGAGAACCTCGTCTTCAATGTTAAGTTGCTTGGATTGCTAACCACTTCCATGGCTCTGCTAAAGTCAATATTTGATTTATGGATGCTATCGGAGGTTATGTAACAACTGTTAATAATTTGAGGGGGGCTCTCTTCTAATTGTAGACCTACGTCCTCCACCCGGTAGAGTCTCTTGGCGATCACTAGGAAACAAAATGCAGCCAATAGACCAACTCCAATGATAGCACTAACAATGCTCACTATGATGATTAACACCGTATTTGGCTTCTTCTTCTCTGGAGAAGTAGGCACTGCTTCTGGCTTTACAAGGCCATTATTCCCAGAATAAGTGACATTAACAAAATGAGGAAATTTTGGAAGAGTTCCAGATAGATCATTATTTGATATCACAAGTAGAGTCAAGCTTTGCATTTGAGTTAAAGAAACTGGAACCTCGCCTGTGAAATTGTTATTCGAGAGATCAAGAATCTCCAATTGCCCCAAAGAACCCAAATGTGAAGGTATCGGTCCACTTAACTGGTTGTTGCTGAGATTAAGCGCTGTAGTCAAGCTATTCGGCATTCTTGGAACTGTTCCAATAAGATCATTGTTACCTAGCTGTAGTTCTATCAGATAGCTCAACTCGTTAATGTTACTCGGTATTGGACCAGAAAGCTTATTAACCGCCAGGTTTAGGTTAGAGAGTTTCGATAAGCTTGAAATCGATGAAGGTATTTCCCCACTGAGGGAATTATGGCTAAGATTCAACGTGATCAAGTTCCCCAGCTTAGAAAATTCAGTTGGAATCTCTCCGCTCAGACTGTTCTCTTGAAGCTTCATGATCACTAGCTGACTAAGATTAGCCAATGCCTTTGGTAAACTACCATTTAACTGATTACTGGCAAGATTTAGAAGTGTTAATTTCTGACAAATTTCCAATTCTGAGGGGATTTCTCCATCCAATTGATTGGTATCCAACTCTAGATAGGTCAGGTTAGACCTTTGCTGAAACAATGAAGGAACTTTCCCTGTGAGCTTATTTCCCCCGAGCCGGAGCCTGAAAAGACTTTGAGAAATGTCTCTGGGGATAGCTCCTTCAAGGTGATTCCAGCTCAAATCAACGTACTCTAAAGTAGGAGATGATAGGAAATCCAACGGGATCCGCCCACCAAGAGAATTGTAGCTGAGGTCCAAAAAGTTCAGATGTCTAGTGAGCCCATCAGGAATCAAGCCAGTAAATCCATTTTGATTGGCAGCAAACCGCCTCAAGCTCCGGATTGAGGAAAGATTACTAGGAATTTTCCCCGTGAGATTATTCGAAGAAAGGATGAGAGTTTCTAACTTAGAGAGCTCCCCAATCTCATCTGGAACGGACCCAGATAGATTATTCATGCTGAGATCCAATGCGGTGAGGTTCTTTAACTGAGATATGGAATTGGGTATTTCCCCCGAGAACTTATTTCCTGACAGAAGCAACACCTCAACACCAACAAACAAAGGAATGGGACCTTCAATGGAATTATCACTCAGGTCCAATGTTTTCAATCGACTAAGCCCGCTGCAATTTGAGAAGAAGGATGAGGAGGGTATAAAAGAAAAGGAGTTCAATGAAAGATTAAGAGACTGGAGAGAGCTAAGCTCGCAAATAAGCTTGAAGAAAGCAAGAGCAGAGGAATTATGAGTAGATGAAGTTGTAAGGCCAAAGCCTGAGAGTGAGAGGCCAGTTACATGAACAGGGGTTGATGAGCTACAACTGACACCGGTCCAATTACAGGGTTTTTGATTGGTCGTGTTCCAAATCTTGCCGTTTGATGATGGAGGGAGATTCTTAGAGAGATTGAACATGATGCTCATATCATCCCCATAAACTAAGAAAAATTGAAGGAAGAGGGAAATGCAAGCATACCTCTTCATGCTGATTGAATTTGAACTGTACCCTTTTGATCTTTTGCTGTAAATTTTGGCTTCAGATCGTATTGAGGAAGAGGAGAGGGGAGTTTACACGGGTGAGTCTTTTTAAAGACTTGGCTTTTGCTATTGCTTCTGCTTCTCTCTTTTCTTACCTTGGGATGATAGAACGAAAACTGGGGAAAGAAGAGAGCTTGAATTTGAAGAGAGGAGATTGGATGGAGTTTTGTGGGTTTTTCTTCTTCGTGGGTCCATGGTTGACTGACTTAGCAGAGATTTTCTAAATTCTTTGGGAACTGATTTGTTTTTATTTTTTTCTTGTGCATACCTCCCGGTTTAGGTTTTTGCATATTGAGTATCAAGTTATTAACTTTTTTTCTTTTTTGCAAATTGTGATCTGAATCTATAAAATTGAACATTTTATTAAGATACTCCGCGTATGAGAGTGTTTTTCTATGGGAATAATATCATTAATATCATTTGGCATGAATTCATAACGTTGATGGTTAAGTACAACTCATGAGATCAGATACAGTTTTAAAAAATAAAATGCATCTGTTATACGAATTGAGAGTCAATAATAAATATATAAGATTCTTTGGGTTAATCACTATTGATCTATATTTATGAAGCAGTATTGGTATGTGTCAGAAAAGTATTTTTCTATAATATATTGTTATACCCCTAAGAGATACTAAATATTAATCTCCACAGAACAGTCGACACGTGTCTTACACTATACCTAATAGAACTAATTCAAAATCAAGATAATCTTGGCCTCTGCACGGCCGACTTAATAGACCGACATCTCGTGTAACCGAGTCAAAAGACACTGCTTGTCGTCCAAGCCGACCAATCGCCCTTGCGAATAACCCCCAATCAACCTGTTGCTGCAGCCATCAACAGTGGTAGTCGACCATCAGCTGGACGCCTAAAAGAATTGGTAGTGAAGAGAAAACAGGAAAAACATCAAATTACAGGTTTTGATCTTCCAGCGGTCGACCGCGAGGCAGGCGCGGTCGACCGGAAACAAGCACAAAGCCTGGGAGATTTTTGGACTTGGCGCGGTCGACCGCCAAACCTTGTAGTGGATTTTTGATTATGTCGTTTGGTTTTGGTCTACCGTCGCAGTCGACCGTGAGTTTGCTGGGCCTTGAGCTTTTGTTTCCTGTTTGCTTTGGGATTGTGTTTTGATATATATTAAAACACGATTTTCTAGGATTTCTAAGGAGAGATAAGAGAGTATTCTGAGCACTTTGAGAGGGAGAACTTGTGAGCAAGGAGAGAGCTTTGGTTTAGGATTTATTTGAGTGATTTTGTGAGATTGTAACCCTTTGTACTCTTCTTGATTTAGTGGAATCTCCACATCCTCTCCCCGTGGACGTAGGCAAATTGCCGAACCATGTATATCTCAGTGTTTGTGATTGGTTTGTCGTATTTTGGATTGGATTACACTCGTGTTTGGTTTTGTTATCCTCTCCCGTAATTCGCGGACTCATTTGGTTGTCAAGCGTGCTTCCACAAAGGCGCGTAAAAATTGGTATCAGAGCTCAGATTTCAGATCTAGAGTTTTGGCATTAGGTGAAGGAAGATTCATTGTGGAAGTTTAGTTCTTGGAGTTCTAGGCTTCGATGGATATAGTGTTTTGGGTTTCCGTTGAAGATTTTGCTTTCCTTGTGTGGTTAGGAGATCTATTTGGAATCCGTTCTAAGGTTCAGTTGGGTAACTTCTAAATTCTATCAAGTTTGAATTTCTTTCTCTAAAATTTGGAGTTTGTGAATATGGGTGAAGAAGTTCGTGAAAGCAGCAAGATGGCGGGTACAGTTCAAGTTGGTTTTTAGAACACTAAAATTAGTGTGGTTAAATATGACGGCAAGATCAATTTTGATTTTAGGATGAGCGACGTACAGAATACGCTCAATGCTCAGAATTTGGAGGAGACCATCATGGTCCATGAGAGACCACCAAAATATGAAGAGGCGGTATGGCAAAAGATGAATAGGAACGCTTGTGGGGTGATCAGGTCTTGTTTAGAACAGGAGCTGAAGTATGATGTGATTGGGGTGATATCTGCAATGAAGATGTAGGAGATTCTCAACAATAAGTACCTTACGAAGAGTGTTGAGAACCGTTTGTACTTGCTGCGAAGATTGTTCAGATTTTAGATGTCAAGGGGCACCTCACTAGCAGTTCATGAGAGCAACTACACTAAGTTGTTGTCAGACAATGTGGATGAGAAGATTAAGGATGAGTACAAGGCTATTATTCTTTTGGGCTCCTTACTGGATAAGGAGTATGATATCTTCGTGCTTATTTTGTTGAACGGGAGATCTTCTATCACATGTAGTGAAGTTACTAATACCTTAACGAACTATGATTTGAGGAGGAAGGACAAAAAGACTTCCCACGCTAGTACTTCAGGAGAGGCCTTGTCGACGAGAGGTAGAAGCCCATATCTGAGAGGTGGTAATAGGAGCAGGTCAAAGTCTAGATGCCATCACCAGTTAGCAAAGAACCAGTGTGCATTCTGTAAGGAACAGGGACATTGAAAGAGAGACTGTCTGAAGCTCAAGGAGAAAGAGAATGGTAAGAAAAAGGGCCTGAAGGCCAATGAGGTGAACGTTACGAGAGGCGATGATTCAGATGATTCAAGCTTTTCTCTATTCATTACTCTGGAGGTGAACCACTTGGATGCATCAGATTGGATGCTTGATTCTGACGCTACTTATCATGTGACCTCTAGGCGAGATTGGTTTGCATCTTTTGAGAGTATCGATGGGGGTGTTGTTGTCATGGGAAATGATCAATCCTGTGATATTTGTGGGATAGGTACTTGTAGGCTGTCTAAAAATCATAACAGATAGTTGATCCCCATCAAACACCGATGATAGAAGTTATAATTTGACGACTTCCATGACGACTTCCAGAAGGCTGCAATTTGAAGACTTTCACGTAGAAGGTTACAATCTGACGACCTTCACAATAACCAATGAAAGCTCTAATTCAACAACCTTCACAATCAACATCGGGAGTTACAATCTGATGACTCTCATATTTTCAAGGAGTCAAGACGAATGTTACAAGGCGACGATCTTTGCAACGCTTTAGCAAAAGAGACTACAAATTGACGGTCACTTCATATCAAAACGCAGATATCTCTCAAACCGGAAGGAATTTGGCGAAATGGAGGAAGCAAACCAAACCCTATGGGGTGGGTTTGGTCGGCTCCGTCTCGTCGAGATAGCTGATTTTTATATATAATTCGTCCCATTCCGACTTACAGTTTGAAAGTTATGACCTGTTCTTCGCAACAAGTTATGTTCTGAAGTCCGTCTGTGAGACTGCACTTCGCCTGAACATTGGACTTAGCCTAAAGCATGCCGAGCCCGCCTGAGGCTCACCTCTGCATCCAAGATTCAAAATGTATAGGTCATACCCGTGTTCTGAACTCAAAACGCAGAGGTCATGCCCGCGTTCTAAACTCAAAACGCAGAGGTCGTGACCGCATTTGAGATTCAAAACGCAGAGGCCATGACCGCATTTGAGATTCAAAACACAGAGGTCGTGGCTGCGTTCCAAACTCGAAACGCAGAGGTCGTGCCTACATTCCAGAGTCAAAATGCAAAGTTCGTGGACTCAAAACGCAGAGTTCATGCAGAGCCCAACCCTGCGTCCCAGGTCCAAAACGCAGAGTTCATGTAGAGCCCAACTCTATGTTTCAGAGTTCACAACGCTACGCGACCTATGCGTTTTCAACCTAAAACAGGCCCAACTCTGCGTTTGATGTCTAAAATGCAGAGTTCGGGCCCAGAATGCCATTTTCGCTATTTGACTCGTTCAAACACGAATTGAACCCGTTTTTCCCCATGATTTAAGGGATTTCCGCCCCACTTAGGAGCGGATTAAGGGGCAGTTACCACCCTTAATCCCCTATAAATACCAGAAACTCAATTGAGTTAAGGGATCGGCTTTTTACATCAAAAATAGATCGCAAAAGGAGAGATCAACAACCTCTTGAGCAGATCATCTTTAGATCTTGGAGATTTCTCGGATCTGGAGATCAGAAAAGGGGGTCTTCGCTCAATCTCGGGAGCATTCCTTGGAGCTTTCATCCTTAGCTTATTAACCGATTTTCGGTTCAAATCAACTCTGTTACAGAGTATAAACTCGCTCTGAGTTCTAAAACTCGTTAGGAGTTATTTTCAAACTTTTCATGCAAATCATCCTCAATATCAATCAAGAGGAATAAACCACGTTCCAGTGAAATAAGAAGTTCAGATCGTCAATGGAAAGCAAACTCGACGCGAGCATTTGAGGGAGATATTCCATCTCCACCGTGAAGAACCCAGAATTAAACAAATGGGAGAATTCAGATCAATTCTCCTCTCTTTTGTAATCAAAAATCCAAATTGTAATTGAGATTGAGAGAATACAAATCAAGTTTCTTTTATTTTATTTACTATAAATTTTCCAACAAACGGTATCATAAGGATTCGGATACACGATGGAGTAGTCCGTGAATTAAAGGAGGTGAGATTTGTTCCTCAGCTAAAGAAAAATCTTATCTTAGTTGAAGTTTTGATGGTGAAGGGATTCAATGTGACCTTTGAGGATATTGTAGCAAAAGTTACTAAGGGATCTTTGGTGGTGATAAAGAAAGTTCGCAGTCGGAACTTATATTATCTGAAGGGGAGCACCAAGATTGGCCAGGTAGCTTTAGCTATTTCAGAGGCGGACATGAGCAGACTTTGACACTACAGGTTGGGGCACATAGGAGAGAAGTCATTGCAGGCGTTGTGCAAGCAGGGGTTATTGAAGGGAGCTAAGAGTGGAAATGTTGAGTTCTGTGAGCACTGTGTTTTTGGCAAGAAGACGAAGGTGAAGTTCGGGACTATCATTCATAGGATGAGAGGAATCCTGAATTACGTGCACACCGATATTTAGGGTCCTACTAAGACTGCATCACTTGGTAGTCGATATTAGTTCGTCACGTTCGTTGATGACTATTTTAGGTATTGTTGGGTGTACACCATAAAAAAAGAATGAAGTCCTAGATTTATTTATGGAGTGGAAGAAAAGATTGGAACTGCAGACTGGGAGAAAGATCAAGACGTTGTGATCCGACAACGGTGACGAGTATACATCAGACCCCTTTCAGAAGCTATGTCGAGACCAGGGCATAGAGAGAC